GAGGCTTCATCTGACATACTTTGGTCATGTTGTAAGGAGAGACCGGTCCTTGGAGAAGGACATCATGCTTGGGAGGGTGGAGGGCAGGCGCAGTAGGAAAAGGCCCTCCAGGAGGTGGATTGATTCGGTGACTGGGGTAATCGAGATTAGTGTGTCAGAGACAATGAGACTGGCACAGGACAGAACAGAGTTTAGGGCTGTTGTACATAGGGTCCCTATGAGTCGCAAGTGACTCGACTGCACATAACATCAACAACATTCTATTCCATTGATCTATGTGTCTGTCATAATATTAGTACCACGCCGTCTTGACTATCACGGCAGCGTAGCAGGATTTGAAATCAGGGAGTGAGATGCCTCCTACCTTGTTTCTCCTTTTAAGGATTGCTTTTCTTATTCTGGGTCTCTTTCATTCTAAATGAAATTGGAGATTGCCTTTTCCATCTCGTTGAAGAATACCAATGAAAGAATTTTTCTTTTATTTTTCAAAGAGAAGAGCAAACTGAGGGAGAGGGGTTGGCAGGGGGGAAAAATGCAACTATGAATGAATGAAAATCCAAAGTCTCTGTAAACATTCATTAAAATTAATAAAACAATTTAAAAAAGTAACCAGAATTGACACAGAGATGTACACAAGGTAGAAGATGCCACTGAATTCAGGAATGCCTAGGACTATTGAAAAGGAACACATCCACAGGCTGAGACCCTTATTGGATTTTCAACCTCCAGACCTTGGAGGAAATAAACTTCTGTTCTTTCAAGACAGGAAAAAAAACCCACAAAACAAAACAAAAAACCCCACCAACCAAAAAACCCAAATAACCAAGTTGACTCTTTTTCAGTGCTCTTTAATATTCCATTGTCTGAATGTATCACATTTGTTTCTATCCCTTTATTTACTGATGAGCAGTTGGGCTGCTTCCATCTCTTTGCTATTGTGAATAATGCAGCAGTAAATGAGAGTGTGGGTACATATATTTAAAAAAAATAAGAATTAATAGTTTGTTTCTGAATACTCACCAGTGGAAAAACATGAATACTAGAGGAGCATTGTCTGATACCATGGGATGGAGGGGGATTCACAGAGCTGAAATATGACTGCAGGAGGGTCAATTGCTCAAAGTAGAGTTTAACTTAATTATGTAAATAAATTTCCCATGGCAATGCGCCTTTTAATTTCCTGGCTGCTGGTGCCAAGACTGTTGACTATGGACACAAGCAAACTAAAGCTGTGTACAATCTCAATCTCTTCACCATCCATCCTGATGCTGCCA